ACCACCCGGCCCCCGTAGTGTGGAGCCGATGGGTTGTTGGCAGGGCGGGGAGGGTGGGGTTAGTCTTTGTTTTGTTTGTTTTTATCCTTTCTATTTAACACTTTATTTTTCCTCCCTATTTTTTTCCTAATTTATTTACCCCTCTTACTGTCTCTCTCTTTTTTTTTTTTTAATTAAAGAGCAAAACTTTTTATTACTTTGTAATTTAAAAAAACAAAAAAAAAACCTGAAGAACTTTGGGGGGGGATTTTGTACTTTTTTCCTGTGTAAATATTGGACTTTTTTGAGCTTTATCGTGGTTGTTAATTTGAAGTAATAAAGTAGAAAATGATAAAGTGACGCCAGCATCTGTGATTTCGTCCTTCCCTGGCATCCTTGCCGGGAGTGACATCTTACATGCAGGAAGCTCTGTCTTGCAGCCGAACCTGTTCCCGAGTTCCAGGAACGAGTTTGATCAGAATTACTGGAAAAAAAGGCACAGGGCTGGAGCGCCTAAAAATAAATCTGAGCTGATCTCTGCTGTTGCAGCCTTGGAACAGCGAGAGCCATGTGAAATCTGATTCAGGATCTCTGGGTTCCTGGATCTGAGCCTCTGGCATCCTGTGCGGCTGGCCCTGGGCAGGAGCGGGATGGGACCTTTCCACGCCGCTGGCTTTGGCAGTGTGCCAGGTTCGGCAGAGGCGCACCCTGGGGTTTGTATTTTCTTGCTTTATTCTGTCCTCAAATCGCAGAGGCGGGGGAAGGAGAGGGGTCAGAACAGCAGCCCTGAGCACCTGTCGACAGCGCTGTGCCTGCCCCGGAGTGGCACCGGCTGCTCTGGAGTCTGTGGTGGTGGGGTTTGTTTGGGTTTCTCCTCCTTCGGCTGCCTGACCTGTCTGGCAGTGAATTCCTAAATTTTAATACTGATTTGTTTCTAAATGGCTGCTCCTGTGGTTAGCGCAGGGAAGCATTATCCGGGTGAGAGGCATATTTCTTGCGGGTAGTGTGAAAACTCCTGAAATTGATCTTTCAGAAACACCAGCTGGGAATAAATGGTGGATCTTGGAGACTTCGAAA